AACTCCCAGAATTCCCCAGCCAACCATGCTGGCTGGGGAATTCTGGGAGTTGAAGTCCACATTTCTTAAAGTTGCTAAGGTTGAGAAACACTGCTCTACATCAACACCACTCCATGGCCCATCCTCCTCAATCTTATCCCTGTAACTTTCTTTCCTCTCTCCTTCCTGCAGCCTGTACTCTAAGGGACTTGGTGGGTCATGTGAAATCATCACCAAGCCTGCTCAGAAGAAGAAGAAGCAGCATTAGAAATTATGAGACTGAGAATTTTAAGCTTGAAAAACTCTCCTATACGGGAAGGTCCTACATAGCAAGGCCATCATAACTACTTCTACCAATGCTTGGTTGCACTGGGACATGCAGGTTCTCATCCCAACGTGACCACAAAGCTCAAATAAGTGGCTTGGAGATAGTCCCTCTCTCTTGGCCCAGCCCTACCTGACTGGGTTGTTGTTGCGGGGAAAAAATTAGGGGGAACTCTCCAGTATGCCCCTTTGAGCTCTTAGAAAAAAGGTGGGAAATAAATACCAACAACTAAACAAGCTAACAGCAATAGTAGTACTGAGTTGAGATGCTCAGAGACAGTATTCAACAAAAGAAAAACCAAACCCTTTTGAAATTTCAGATTCAACAGAAATAGAGAAAGCAGTCGCACTTTTTTCCCATCTGCCGGCATTAAAACAGTTAAGTGGCCTGAGATAACGCCCCGGGGTGACAATTCAATGAGGAAATGGGAAGGACCCTGCAAGACAAAATTACCAAAAATATAACAGCAGGCACTTGGATCAGCTCCTCTGCCGGGGGGGGGGGGGGGGGAAGGAAGAACCGTTTCCAGAGATCCCTTCCAAGACACGGCAACATTTAGCCAGCACATCCGGGATGCGACCGTCCTACCCACCTCCTTGAGCAGACAGTACTGACATCAAAGCCACAGAAAACTATGTCACAATCCGACAATCCCAACTGCTTTCAGCAAGCCTTCCGAAACCATCTAGAAGGACGCGTGCTCTGCAGACATGGTGGCCAGGCCCCGTAATCGACATCTCAAACCATCTGTCGCCTCCCCAAAAAATAGGCCTTTACAGCACCCTCCAAATGTCAAAGTTCATCCATCGTGTGCCAGCCTAGAAACCTCCTGAACGCGGTCAGGTCTGCGTGGGGCAACCCATCGCTTTCTTATCAAAGTTCCCCCCTCCCGGCTGCCCCCATCCCCAACTCGTCCTCACCATCTCCGGACGTGCTCGATAGCAGCCATCACTTTCTTGATGTCATCTTTTGCCCGGCTCCTTGTCTCGGCTCGAACAGCTCGTCCTGACATGAGGTCAGAAGTTTGGAGAGTTGGAAAGCTGCAAGGGATGGAGCAGGAAGACAATAAGGAGCTTTCTCTCTGGACTGCGGGTTTGGAGTTGTGCTCTTTTGTTCTCTTTATCCCATTTCTCTCCCTCTTTCTTTCTTGATCGGTTCCTCTGTCCCCCTCGCTCTTCTTTTGCTTACAAAAGGGACGATTGGGGTGTTAGAAAGACTTCCTCTGCACATTGCTCAGCCATTAATCCATCAGATTCTGCCCGCTGCCTGTCTCTCTCACCATCCATCAATCTGCCTCCATCAGTTTATGCCAATTCTTCTTTCTTCTCCCCTTATTTTCTCGTGTTTGTTTCCCCTCTCTCTCTCTCTTTCTTTTTCTTATCTCAGCCTTCATCTACTTCTTCTGTCTGTTGGGTCTCCACCATTCTTCTGCCCTCTGTTCGTCTTCTTTAGCTGTTCTCCTTTTGCCCCAAAAAAAGGAAGAGAAGAAAGGAGGGGTGGAAAAAAAAAACGGAAAAAAGGCAGTTCGCCAACGGAAGAACTATAATATAGTTCTTTCAGGTTGCTTTTTTTTAAAAAAAATTGATATTTGGAACTTCGGGAGCGCCCTCTAGTGACTAGGAGAGCTGAAAAAGTGTACAGTTGGAGCACAAAATTGCATCCTTTCGAAAAATGATCTGCCGTTCTGAGAAACGGTAGAAAGGTAGCAAAAGAGGAGAACAAGAAGGGTGAAAAAAATTCAGACTAAGGAGATTATTTTGCATCATCATCCATTGGGATCCAAACAAATGTCACTTCTGAGCTGCACATTTTGCAGGAAAACTCACAATAGGGAATTGATGAGGTTTATTAGAACAGAATGAGCAATCAGTAATAAAGTGAGAGAATTGTAGGCCCCGAATTTAGTGGTCTTACCATCCAAGGGTGGAGATCTTCTTCAGGCAAACATGTATATTATCATTTTAAAGTCAAAATCACAAAATGAGCACCTGTTAGTGTATATGTATCTAGCCAGGTGTCCCTGACTATAGAAATATTTTTTTAGAAAAGAAAGAAGAAAATAAGGAGGAAAATCGGGATAAGTTTGCTCATAACCTGGGAGTTGACCTGAAGCTTGTCTGATGCTGTTCCAATCATCTCCTACTCTCCCAGTCAAGAATACCCAAACTTTGTGGCTTAAGGACCACCCTGGGTGGGTCCAGGGCCTATTCTGGAAGGGGTCTTGAGGGCTTTTAATGGGCAAAGTGGGTGCCTTAAGTATCTGCAATTGATCATTTTGCCTTGTAAAACTTTCCCAAACTCCCCAAATGCCAAATAGGCATTTGCTCTCTCTTGAAGGACTTTGAGGACCACAAAAGAGTGGATACATGAGGTCCCTTTTTGCACCCCAGTCTTAAGTAGTTTCTTTGGGGACTCTCCTGGCTTCAGAGCTGTACACTTTTACTGTGAGGTTCAGCCCAATGGCCTATTATAACTAAGGAAGAAAGAAAAATTGAATATGTTGCTGAAATCCCCAGTTCTTTAGTTTGGGACAATCTTAGGATGGAGGGCCAGCATAACTCAGCAAGAGTCTTAGACACACTTAGACAAACCGGTGTTTAGGGTTTAGCATGACGTGGGAGCCCAGCCTTGATATCCACTCCTGTGCACACTTTCTTTGGCATCACCCCCTTTTCCCTCAGAACAAGACTTCTTTTCTGGAGAAACTTGCAGGAGAGGGCGCTGCTCCTCCAGTTATTCTACTAAGCGCAAAACAGATTTCCGGCTGGGACAAAGACATCGTTGTGGCTGTTCCCTGAGGGTTTCTGGGCTGCATGTTTTGAAAATACAATTACTCAAATCTGTCTCTAGCCTTGATAAGAACAAATGAGTCTCCTTATCAAGCAAGGAGCTGAAATCAAAGGAAACACAACCCTCTTTATATTAACAAAACAGAAACCAATCGGAGTAGCATTAATTAGCAGTTGGGGAAAACCTCAGAACTGTCACAAAGTTGAATCCCACCATCGAATATTAGACGATCATCAAAATCTTAGATCTTTCTCTGGTCGGCGGACAATGGTATTCTTCAAAACAGAACAAAATTGCAGGCTGGTCACTCCTACAGTAGAATGATCAGCACAAGGTTTTTTGGGGGGGGGGGTGGACTTTCTACTATAAGGGAAAGATGGGATTTTTGGCTCACACCCCACCGTTGAACAGGTTCACAGATGATGCCAGGCATAAGCAATTATGTGTTTGGTTTTGTCTAGCTTGCTGTCTGAACCCAGTTTAATGCAGTTTGGCATGACTAGGCAGGGTTTGGCATGACAGGTGAACCACATAGAAGTCTTGTGGCATTTCAAAGGCATTTGAATTTATTAGGGCATAAAATTCCACATTCCTGCATCTGAGGAAATGGCCCCCAATCTAGGAAAAGCTCCTGTCATTAAAAAATGTCATTTTTAAAAGCCTCAGTGGTTCTTGGTGGTCACTTTTGCCTTTCCTGGTTCACTTATTTGAGCGTGATTTCTTAGGATTTGCAGTTTTATCTTGTTTTCGTATTTTGATGAACTGGGTCCATCGTTCTAGCCACGGGGTTGAAAGGCTGGATGTGAGTATAGAAAGAATAAAAAGTCCAATTCACCTCACAGGGTTGTGAGAAAGGACGATTACAGGTATATTTGCCGCCTTGAGTTATTTATAAAAATAACAAAGGCAGGATAAAAAAATCTAAAAAAGAAAAAGATAAAGTCTCCTTTGAGTTAAGGTGACTGCACGGGGACACATTTAGGCAATGTTCCGGGCACCAACATTGTTTTTTACGACTTCCCGGTCTAGTCTACTGTCCCATGACTTCCTGATGATTTCCCATCCACATTTAAACAACCCAGCTTACCTTTTTTTCTTATTTTAGCATCGAGAAAAGAGATAAGAGTCTACCATAACAAGAGACAGATACACAGCCAACAGTTCGATTTTGATTCCCCAAAACCAAATTGACTCAATTTACCTAAAAGACTGTTTTTCCAGATTAAAAAAAAAAAATAGGTGTGTTGTCTTTGTTTTGCAAGAATATAGTAAATGATTCTTTTCTCTCCCTCTTTCTCTCTGATCTTTGAGGGACAAATGATGGAGGAATGGTCTTCCATCCAGTCGTTTTCCTTTCCAAGGCGACCCCCTCCTTGAAGTCGCACAACTTTGGAGTCCCGCACAGCTTTTTCGGGGGTAACACCCTACTTACGGAATGCCTCCCCCCCAGAGAGGCTCAAGAGGTGTCCACGTGAGTATCATTTCACCACTAGGCAAAGGCCTTTCTGTTTCCCCCAGCTTTTAAATTGGCTTTTAATTGGATTTGAATTCATACTGTTCTAGTTTCTGAAGGACCGCTGTGCTGCTGCCTACTTGATATGGCACTTTTAGTCGATTCCATCCTTCATGTTTTTCTGCAATTTTTTTTTTAATTTGTGTTTTTGTAAACTGTCCACAGAGCGTCAACTATGGGGGGGGGGTGTTAAATGTTTAACAAATCAATAAAATGATCCATTTGCTTTCCCTCCTGCAGAGGAAATGAAGCTGCCCCATACCCCCACCCCCTTCCTCCCTGGACGTACCCAGGGCACCCCTTCTTCCTCCCTCAGGCGAGCCGCACATCGCTGCCCGGCGTTGGGGGGAGATGAAAGGCCAGCGCCGGTGCAGATTCCGGGCCCGGCAGGAGGCGGGCCGTAGGTGACCTCAGCCTCCTGGAATCTTCAGTCCCGGGCCGGCGCGGGGACAGGGGGCGTGGCCAGGGGCTATAAAAGGTCCGGCGAGGAAGGGGGCGAGCAACAAGTGGCGG